GTTTCGCTTCCTTCGCCTTTCCTACGCAGACTAACTCGCAGTTGCGCCGCTAGCCTTTTTATATGCAATTATTACTGCCATCTCGAGGTGATCGGAATACACTAGCTAGAACCAGAACTTTCTGGAATCAACGCGGTAATTCCAAATATTTAATTACGCCTAATGCCGCCTAGCGGGTAGCTGAAAAAGATAGTACATAGTACCACTACTCGCCACTAAGTGTCACAATACACAATAATAATTGAAATGCAAAAAAAACATAAGTTTGCTTAGGTCACGCACTTTGCGACTATCCTAGTCTAGAAATATAGTTAAGGGCAGAAATTGGCCCTTGGAACAGACTGAAAAAATCATTATGTCCCGAAGGCTTCAAAGTTTGGAGACCCCTGTACTAGATGATCAGAGAGATTGAGCATACTTTATGTTCCAGAGTGGAGTGATCTGATTGTGTCACTCAAGCATATATAATGATGATAAGACTATCAGAAGTGCTTCAAATTCTTATAGGTTCTTGAATCACCTGTTTGAGATTGAAGCATTGGAGAATACTTTTGAACTTGCGATAGCCATAGGACGTCAGTGTTGATGTCAACGTTTTGCTCAATGTTTTTTTATATTACCGTGACATAGTGCATTAGGAGTTGTTGGTACATGTATGGTCAATAAGGAGTAGTATCATGAAGTTATGGTCCGCTTACTAGAAGCAATACGAAGAAAACGTCCATTAATGTATGCCATATGGTGTATGGCTTTTGCATCACGATAATGTACCTGCTCATTCGTCATTGCTTGTTCGAGGACATACCAAAAATGGCATATCAGAACTGCTTCGAGAATTGGATAAAACGCTGGCACAAATGTATTATATCTGAGATGGACTACTTTGAAGGGGACAAAATAGAAATTGACGAATAATTAAATATTTTTTGAGAAAAATGAAAATCAATCTAATATATTGTTTAAAGTCATCTGGTGTTTTATGAGATATCAATGAGAAAAACCAATATCGGATGCATTATTAATAGAAAGTAAAACCCAGCCATTGGGAGGATGGATATAACTCTTAACCAGATCCTCTACTTAAGAAGACATCATTTAGTATGTCGACCGTTGACGTCCAAATTAATAATGGATATGGAACAACCAGATGGATAAAAATCCTTTACAATCAAACAATATCACAATTGAGACTGATTCACCTCTAGTTCCTATAGTCTTCTCTTCTTAACCATACATCAGGGATATAACACCTAAGTTATGCAGAATCTTCAAATAATACTGATCGGAGGTCCGATTTGCGGACCTCCGATCGGAACCTTGCGGAACACCCAACTCAAGTTAGGTGTGACGTAGACGTCCTCACTCCTCCAGTTTTTGTCATTACCCAGTCGACCAATCAGCTGCTACTGCGCATACAGTGGGAAATTCAAACCACTAGATGAGCAAGCTTGGTCCAAGCGCAAACTCCCATGAATTTTCTTATGGAGCTAAACTTTTTGCAATTTTTGGTTCAAACAGGAGTGGGGAAAAGTGTGATGTCATCGATGCAGGATGGAATGAGTATGGGAGAGATTCAAGGGTAGGGCCCCTTGGAACTCCGCCCCTCGGCCCCCTTAGTACTCTGCCTCACCCCTCGGGCCCCCTTGTCACGTTCCCGTCAACGTGCGATCCCTCAATGTGTACAGGGTGTTTCAAAATACATCATTAAAGAAAAAAACATGGTGTCGAAGTGTACAGGGTGCGTCAAAATACATCATTTAAGAAAAAAACATTACAGTTTAACGTTCCAACGTGCGATCCCTCAAGGTGTACAGGGTGTCTCAAAATACATCAGTGAAAAAAAAACATGGCGTCGAAGTGTACAGAGTGCGTCAAAATACATCATTTAATAAAAAAACATGTTGGTTCAACAGAAGTCACTGAGGAAACACTACCAAAACACACTTTTGTCTATTTTCCACAATATTTCTTTATTGTTGACTAGTATCGGCTATTACACCATTTTCACACCAGAGTTTTGAAAATAGTGTAATAGCCGAAACTAGTCAACAATAAAGAAATATCGTGGAAAACAGACAAAAGTGTGTTTTTGTAGTGTACCATCAGTGAACATGAATTTCCACAAAATAAACAAGTCGTCAATCAAAGAAGTTCAACAGAAGTCTAGCATTCCAACTTGTCAGCAGGATATTAAGTCGTATTGTTGTTAACTAAGTTGGCATCATCATGAGAAGGAGGAGATGGCATCAAAGGTGTCGAGGAGTTACGTATTTTGGAGTTAACATTCGAAAATGGGGGTTTCGACCGTTTTACGTGCGTTTAGACCGTTTTACGTTCGTTTAGACCGTTTGCGTGCTTTTCAACCGTTTTGCGTGCGTTTCGACCGTTTTACGTTCATTTAGACCGTTTTACGTGCGTTTAGACCGTTTTGCGTGCGTTTCGACCGTTTTGCGTGCGTGTATTCGTTATCGTTTCATCGTTATTGTCGTGGCCGTTTTCGTGTTTCAATATGACAACCATCTATCACTCAACGCGTTTCGCTAACCAAGTAAGCATCATCAGGAAATGACTACAGTCCATGCTTTGTCGTATGAAGGTTCATTTTGCAAATTTTTAGATTGCTGAATGGAAGCTTGTGGAACGCTCAGCCTAACTTCTGTTACAGAGTGGTGTCAGTCAGCCAATCAGAGGAATCAAATATCGGTCGGTTGATTATGTTAGATGGAATTGAACTGGAGAATGAGGGTCGAATAATAATAATAATAATTATAGTGATAAAACATTAAAACTTGTAAAGTGACGTAGTGAATGTGGGAGGTGGTGGCGTGGTAGAAAATGTGTGATGATTTGTGTTAATGAATGAGTTATTAGAAAAAAAAAGAAATGACTCAACTGTCAGAAGGGCACTAAGTTGTATATTCTCCAATAATGATCGGATCGTCGCGTACAGCACGTCAAAAGGAAGTATAAGAAATGCAGAATTCGTCGACGAGAGAAAACAAAGATGGCGCAACATGTCAGAAAGGCACTGAGTCACAATTTCGTTAACGATAGTTGGATCGAAACGAATGCAGAATTCATCGACAGAGAAAAAACAAAGATGACGTAACATGTCAGAAGAGCACTAAGTTGTATATTCTGTCTGTTTCTGTTCAAAATCTGTTTGTAATCTGTTTTTCCGTTGATCAGCTGTCGCCCCCATACGAACGACAACTCTCAGAAATTGAGAAACTTGTGCAAGCTAAGGACTAACGAGGTCTTACCTTTTAACGGGTGATGCCTAATAATGATCAGATCGTCACGCACAGCATGTCAATTGAAAGTTAAATTTATGTAAAATTCATCGACAAATAAAAAACAAAGACGATGCCAACAGGACACTAAGCCGCATCTTCATTAATAATGTTTGGATCTTAACATGTAACACATCAAATGAAAGGAGGGAGAGTATAGAATTCATAAAGAGAACTCAAAGATAACGTCATGTCAAAAGGGCACTAGTTCACCTCTTCGCAGACAGATTATGATGTAGAGCACATGAACGGGGCATGGATGTTGAAATTGATAAAGAAACGTCATGGTGACATGTCAAATAGTC